TGATGAGATTGTTGTCGCTATTGAACAACGACTGTACCACTTCTTCTCTGCATATGCCCCACAAACTGGATGCTCTGAGCAGTCCAAGGACGAGTTCTGGGCTCTGCTGGACGAGAAGACGGCTGAAGTGCCACCAAAAGACGGTATCATTGTAGCCGGCGATTAACGGCACGTGGGCGCTTGCAAAAGAGGTTGCTTGTATGGCGGATTCTATGGTCACGGAAGAGATGTGAACCGCGAGGAAAGGGTATTGCAACGATGGCGTGAATTCTTCGAGGGCATCTCAACGGTGGAATTCGCCCATCCCGCTATACCCTGTACCGCACCAACATATGGTCCCGTTCAGAAGGTCACCGTACACGAACGAAGCGTTGAGGAAGATGAAGACGCCAAAGCCAGCAATGCATGATATTGTTATGGGTAGGTCTTCATACAGTCTTGTTTGCTACACATGCTAGGGTGTGCCTGAGGGGGGGGGGAAGGTCTGGCGCGGCACCAGCCATGTGGGTTTCGCACATCCATTCACGCACTTGCAACCTTTCTGAGTGAAGCAAATGGAACCTTTTTTTTCGAGAGATCCACACCCCTCATTTTTCTTTGGAGAGATCTGCACCGCCTCGTCCCCCCCCCCACCCCTCACCCCCACTGCTGAAGATTCCGCATCCGGCAGAGTATGTCTCCTATCGAGTTCTACTTACAATGGAATGGAGCTACTGCACTCCCTCTTCAACATCGCATCTGCTTCGAACTTTAAAGATACCACTAGCGATTTTCGCTTTCCTTGCTTTGAAACAGTTACATTTAGACGCAAACCCGGATTCTTAGTCAGAAAGCCCCTTCTGTGGGAACAACGGAACTATGAGGAAGTTGTAACATCACTATATTTCAGGAACATGGAACAGTGGCTCCAAAAATGCTGCCGCTGGTTACACGGGCCCAATTTTCGGGCCCACTAGTCTCATTATCAACAACGAATGCAACGGAGAGGATTTAGAAGAGCCAGGAGGTGAGTGAGATCATGTCAGAGTCCCACGATTGGAGCAATGTCCGCCTTGACCGGATGGCATGTCACGATCATTTTCTAACCGTAGATGAGAAGGCTCTACGCTGATGTAGTCGAGAGAGGGGGGAGGAGCAAGCGGCAACTCTATACCCCGGCCACTCCAATCGTCCACACTCATTACGGCTGAGCTTTGT